TGTCAGTATCGGCACCACATAGCACACACATACACACACGCGCACCGATATTTACACACCAATATTTTTACATAAATATACTATATTTGACTCTGTAAATAATATTAAAGTAATATTATTATAAGTTTCACATTATATCTGCTAAATAAAATTCGTGTTTTTTTCGGTGACGTCGACACAGATATATATAGTGTCGGATTGTGGGATTATTAATGAAAAATGATCTTGCAAATATTATTTAATAATTTAGTCCGTACCGCGAAGAAAATACCACACAGCACCATTAAAGAGAACAGCTAGTTAACGCTGTTTAAGGAAATAGTCGCTGCTTAAACTGAGAATCATACAAAACACATAAATACAAAGTGCATAGTTATTTGTTGTTAAAGCAGTTTTTATACATAATTACCAGTTTCATTTAATGCGTTAATTATTTAATTCAGTTCACGCTTCCATCTCCATCAGGAGAGAGGGACCGGCTGCTATTTGTGTCTAAAAGGAGGATGACATTTTCCAGCAACTACAGAAAAGCTTTGTATCTGGAAAATATCGACAGATGTCAAATCTTTCCACTAAAATAGCGCCAAGGCACTTAGTATTGTAACGTGATATGTCGGACTTTTAGTATAGAAATTCGATATGTGTTGGTATTACCAAATTAGTAGATATTTGAACGCAACTGGGGCTTATAAGTTTGAAAATCCAGTGCAAATGTAACCACGAATTATTTCCAGTGTTGTGTATGGTTGGTCATGCCGAAAGCCGCTACACAGTCAGGCAGGAAGGCAGACAATCAGGCGCTACATATTCACAATAACCTATACCGGGAGTCGATTTCTAGACCATCGTAATTCGTGACACGTGCAGTATTCTGTCACGCCACATGCATTTGAAACCTTGCAACCGAATTCAACAGAGGCGTTCATTACAGTGAACGCAACGCCCTACTTTCATCTCAGCCACAGGAAGGTGAGAATCCAGTTACATCGTTCCATTTTAATATCATCATTTCATCTACTTCTAAATCTCCTAAGTGGTCTTATCCCTTCAAGCTTATCAACCAAATTTTATACGCGTTTCTTATTTCCCCCACATGCCCCGCTAATATAATTTTCCTTCATTTGGTTAACCTATTAATAGTTGGGGCAGAGTGCAATTATGAAGTGTATCATTTTCAGTTTTCCCCAGTCACTTCATCCCTCTCAGGTTCAAATATTGTCCTAATCACCCTGTCCTCAGACACCCTCATCTGTGCTCGTCCTTTGACATAATATACCAAGTTTTACACGTACAGAAAATAACAGGTAAATTATAATTTATTATATTTTAATCTTCATAAGTTGGTACACGTGTTATTGACGAATACGAGTAATACAAGGAACAGTGTATGCCATGTATCAAGATGTCTGTCTTCCGTGATGTTGCGTGTGTTTTTTGATAGATACCGACTGACATCTTAGACGTGCTATTACCCTGATGACGGACCCAGTAAGTACCTCTGAAACGTCGGTCAATATATACCGTGATGCAGTATCCCATACTCATCGCCTTGAGAACCTGAAACATTAACTACTATGTATCAGGCTGAATAAGAAAACTGTAAGTTACAGGGAGATGTAATGTTCGCTTATGATGAGACCTGGCGGTTGCAGGTGAGTATGATGGTTCCGAAGGACTCGACTAGCCGGCAGCTAGTAGACACGGAACTGCAGCTTTGAATTATCAGGGACAGGTATGCCAACTACTGAACTGTGAACATTCCGTGCGATATATACACTCCGCATATACAGATAATTGAGTACTGTGTCAATATCGATCGCTAATCTATCGACATGACATACCTCATATCGAAAAGGGGTGTGCAAACTACGCGTTTCCTCAAATAGTTCACGACACAGGTCGTACTTTGCGTTGTTTATGCCTGTTAAGGCTATTAAAGAAGCACAAAGTATTTTCACGATAAGGTACGTCATTGTAATGTATCTAGAGTCATATTACCCCACCCTACATCCCACGACATATTTGACTAAGATGCATATTAATGTTATCATCCTAGCTACTCACAGAATTCCAAATTCAGAATTCTCTTTATTCTGTAAAATCAAAACATGTATTTATCTCTTATGCCTTCGCGTTTATTTTCCCACTTATCTTACGCCAATCTTGAAGTTTGCGCGTTGCTGTAAATATAAAAGAAATATATTCATGTAATTAACCTTTTAAAGCCCAGTTGTAAAAATATGTACTGCCTTCCGTAACAGAAACTCTGTCTCTATGAAGGCGTTGTACTTCAGCCAGGACGTGGTGTTAAGGGCCATCATATACGTACGTCACATAAATCAACAGAAGTTCCAAACAGAAATTTGCATGCCCGTATTTTCGAAAAATTCCTTCAAGTGGAAGGGGGGAATATCAAGGACCCACACGAAATCTTTTCGGTACTCTAATCGTTCGCTCATGTGAACACCCTGTATATCGACCCGTTTCAGTCGTGCTAACTGTACTTACGAAACCCCTGGAAAATCTGCTTTGATGTTCGCTTTTGTTTCTGTTGTCGCATGTTTCCGGTGTCACAAACAGAATTTGAACGAGTTTGTGAGAGATGGAAACCATTCACTGAATACTTAGCGACCAGAATCATTGTTTATCTCATGATTTAATGGATGGAGGCTGTGTACAATTGATGCGGCCATTTTGTCACAATTTATGGTTCGATGAGCGTGTGGCCTTTGTAGTTTAACCCGCAAACCCAGAGCAGTAATTGTCAAGTGGCGAGGAATGCACAGACGTGCCGATATCTGGCGCTGTTCACTACTGTACGTTTCGAAATGGGTCAGAAATCGAGGATTACCGGAATTCGCTGAAGCAGACGCAGTGCGTTAACTGATAAAGTTGAACGCATCTGTCATTTCCCGGTTTCCGGTAAAAACTGCAAGAGAAATTGTAATTTGATTTGATTATTTTCGTGGAGAAATACTCGACGCGTATCGCGGAAACGTTATAGAGCTTGGCGGCGAGTCATGCAGTTCCAGCCGGCAGCCGGACAGTGGTAGTCGCGTTCAACTTTATCAGTGGACGAACTATATTTCCAGTGGAATTTAGTCGAGAAATAATACATGGAGGGGGACTAAGACCTTCTGAGGAAATACTAAGACACAACTGACTTTTTGTTAGCAAGAAGTTCTGGGAAGAAATTATGAGGCATGGCATTCTTTACGATCTGCCACCAAATCTGATTTGACGTTCGAAGCACGAATTATTACTGTTAACTCTGTCAGGCCGTAAGCGACATACAGACTTGCCAGATGCCGCCATAATATTTTTGACAAAAAGTTACACATTCTTCGCAGCTCTAATAGCATGTATTTCGTGAATTTGACTTAAAATAATTTTGACATGCACAATATTCTTTAATAGAGAGCCCCTTAAACATTTTGCGTATCGATAAGTGGTTCGCGAATCACAGTTTCAGAACTACAGCACTGTAACTTTCTTCTCTAGTCGAGATTTTAGGTCCTCACGGCGGATAAATGCCGTCGTGTCGGCTTGTAGGCAAATACCGACGTTTCGAAAGAAGTAAGCAGTATGTTCCTCTGAAATGTTGGTATTTACCTAAAAACCACACTACGTTTCAGTCCAGACAAGCAACATTAGCAATGTTTCATACGTTGCAATGTAACCAATTTTTTTTAATACTACTGAATAAATCTTAACTTGGTTGATTCTATCCCAGAGAACGCTTTGTTAGACTGACTACATGTCAGCTGTGGTACCTGTGACGTACTTCCGGCAGCGACTTGTTTTTCTCTTCCTGAAAATGACAGTTCTTTCGCTGTTTGCTGCCTTGCCTAAAATGAGAAGATAACGTGTTGAGATTCGCGTCCCAGCGGGTGTGCCAGGGGACGCTGTTTTTCGTCATTATGTTTCCTGCTGCGCCATTAAATTACATCCAAAATGTAATCGCATGTGCCATGTTAAACGGGACAAACATGCATACGGAAGGCGTAAAAAAAATACAAGCTGTTGTAATGACATTCACTCGGTAATTTATGTGCACTGTTTGCCTGCAGATGTAATTGATCATGTCGATGTTTTTATTTTGGGTTGTAACACCGTGTTTACTTGTAGGTAGCCGTCAGCGTTTCGGAGAAACATGCAAATTCAGACTTAAAAGGAGGCAGTATGTTCTTCGAAATGCTGGTATTTACGTGCATAATGTTACAATCCAGAGACGAACAGTGACATCTTCGTTGCCATGAGAACGTCAGATTTAATGTCAGTGATTAAATTCAGGAAATAAGACACGCTTGGCCATGATTTTTATTACTCATTTCATAAATATCATCTCGTCTGATTTTCAGGACACTAAAAGTCAATACATAGTCCACAATTTAATAGAAGTTTTGTAAGGCTGTCAAACATAGTTTATTAATTCTAGGGAGGAACTGAAGTTCTAAGCGTCACGAGACAAAGTATTAAGGAACATTTTTTGACCTAAGTGGAATGAAGTAAACATTCATTTTATTACATTAGGTGTAAGAACGCGCTTCACGATTTATATGGGTCCCATCAAGTTAATGGCCATAATTAGGATCATACTGTTGTGATTGGCTGGGCATGTGGCTGGGATGACAATAAAAAGAAATATTTACAAAATGTTGGTTTTGAAAGTAACTTAAGATTTGTCATCACGGCACAGTATAATTCATATTAGATAATTATCTGTTATATTACATAATTTATGCTGAGTCCATGCAAATTTATATAAATTATTATGGAACATTCTGTACACCAAGAAATTTGAAGAGGTCGTTCTTTTGTTCCTGTGAATTAAAAACAGAAACGAGGTGAGGTTATGATTGGAACTTTAAATTTGTCGTCAGACAGAACACTAAATAAATATAATATATACTATACCAAATGCTACCGGGTGTTCCATAACCGAAAATCCTGTTTGTTCAAACGCAAAATGACTGTTTGTGGTGTTGTCTTTCCGGCAGAGCACCGCGGCATCGTGTCCCCTGCAATCGTGGAACACACCGGGACCGTCCACGTGGCTCAGGACGAAGGCGCCGTGCTGCTCTGCGTCTCTCAGGGCTGTCCAACCCCGGACTACAGGTAAGACAAATTTCCCAACATAACTTTCCGAGAAGGACGAACGGGAACTGCCTGGGAACCTTCACGCCCCTAAAAGCATCTATTTCCCCAATTTATGTGTAGTGTCTCTCACCACTCCCCCACTTTCTTCTCTCTCTCTTTCTCATTTATTCGGTTTCAGAGGGATAATAAAGAAATTTAATTATTAATATTGTTATTCCTCTTTGGTCGAAATGAAATTACAAGGGTGGTGTAACAGCACGTCAAGGCTCCTTTAAGTGACGTCATTATTTCCATTACGATGGAAAGGGTTCTGTCGTATCCTTGGTAACGAGAGGGCGGTTTTGCGAAGCCTGTAAAATATCAGTGTGCTTCTGAAAGAAATACTGTGTTTACCACACAGTTTCATCATGGTGGGCCCACAGTTCTGCAGTCTGAGGACTTCAGAAGTGGATATCGGAGTAACCTAACCTAAATACGCGCTAGACCAAAGCCCTCAATGAGCGGTCACTTTGTACCGCAGAGTCAGAGGCCAAACCTAAACACGAACTTTGGACGGAAATAGATGTTCATCGTGTTGTATAATTTTCTCATTTCCCGTATGAACACTTTTCTTCCTTACATTGTTGAATATATAATAATAAACAACAGAATTTAATCGAATAATTGTAATTTACTGAAGAATGATAGTTCACATTGGTGACAAATCTATGGGACAGTGAAAGGATTCAAAGCAGAATGGCCAAGTGCTGATAACTATCTTTCTAGACGCTATCGACAGAGGCATGTTTTATCGTTGAGGAAGAGGTCTATAAGCATATCCGGGACAACCAAAGAATCATCATTGTTTAAATTATCATCAATCCAACCGAAAATATATTTATTTTTTTTCAAATTTATTTATGAAATTTATTGAACTCCGTAACAAATACACTTAAAGCTACATTGCCAAACATTATATAAAAGTCTTTAATCCTTTGAAGCCTAAGCTTTTCTAAATAGTATTTAATGATTCAGTCCGTACCTCAAAGAAAACACCACACGTAACCATTATAAAGATCAACATTTTGACGCTGTTTAAGAAAATAGCCGGTGTTTACAGTGAGAATCATAAGAAAAACATAAATGAGGCTCACTTACTGATTATTAAAGCGGATATTCGTATTTACCATTGGGCTTTAAAGTGTTAATCTTCTAGTTCTTTTCGTGCGTGTGCATGCAGTATACGTAAGCCTATATATATCTGTATAAGTAGTATATAATATATCTCCTGCTATATGTTTGTGAGGTCAGTACGGTAACAAATCATTTTTACCAGTGATGCTCGAACTGCACACATCTGAATATTAATACCGGCGTAGCTGTGTGGGGATGCAGGGAGACTGGCCGTGGCAGATAACTCAGGTGTAACACACCCACACACACTCATTCGAAAAGCTCATTTTCATTCTGCTGAAGTCGATATCATATTACGTAGTTACGGTTAAAAGTGTAATAGAATCTACGTGACTGGGAAATCCTATATTTCTGGAATAATGAAACTCTCTCAAGTATATGAATTTAAAGCATGTGCCATTACGAAAGCGGTAATAACGTCATGAAACACTAGCTTGTTAAATTATCGAAGGTACAATCTAGGCAAGTTGTTATCAGTGTACAGTATTTGCAGCCGAAGTGCGCACTATGCTGTGATATTAACTACGTACTCCACCGTAGCTTTTATATGTGAGTGTACGTAAAATTACGACTGTCACTCCATTAAGCTTCTAATTGGTTAATTATTTAGAGTAATTTGATTAATTTGTTAATTATTCGGTATATTAATCCGTTAATACTAACATTATTGAGGGACTAGCGAGAACAAACATAGTTATAATAAAGCTGTAGATTGCAAAAAAAAGATAGGCTGTTAGGCCAAGTCTTCTGTAGAATGAATTCAATAAATGATTTATTCACTTAATTATAAGTTACGACAGCGAAAATCTGATTGTGATCTTCTGGGTTGAAACATAATGTATTCTTGTAGGTGGTAGCAAGTGTTTCGAATGGATATATTACCTTTATCTTCAGGGTGGAAAATCCCATAGCCCTGAAGATGTAAACAGTAAGCACACAAACGTCGGCCTATTTCTACGAGTCTATATGGCACAGCATCCTAGAACACTGTCGTCTTGATTCACAAGATACTCGTCATTTCTAACAGGCGATGTTCGGAAAACATCGAATCTGTGTTACGTTATCGCCCGTTTATCCCTCTGAAGCTTAAGCTCATCTAAATAACATTTAAGAATCCAGTCCGTACCGCGAAGAAAACACCACACTTCACCATTACTAAGATCAACTGGTTAACGCTGTTTAAGAAGTAATCGCTCTTTACAGTGAGAATCATAATTCGTCAGATTAATATTTAAAAGACCCAGTCCGTACCGCGAAAAGAAAACAACTCTTCACCATTACAGAGATCAATTGGTTGACGATGTTTAAGGAAATAATCGATGTTTACAATACGAAACAGATGGATAATGAATGAAGACTTGTTGATTGTTGAAGTAGGTGGTAAATATAGATACCAATGGGGTTTGTATGGTTAAAAGTGTAGAACTCCTCTCACTGTGGCTGCCTGCATGGATAATGACTCATGAATATACCCTACAGGCACTGTACCGACGGTATTTTCTGATTAGAAACGAATATTGAATTAAACCTGAAAGCGAACTAGTGTTTAATAAGTCTGGATCAACGCATTTATATTTTTATATTGTTATTGATGATACTGCTCTTTATCTGGTGACCTCATTTGTGTGATAGGCCCTACTGGGTAATATCAATCATCAACAGGGCGGTCTTACACCAACCATTGTTCCATCTGTAAGTATGTCATGAATTGTAATTAATCCATCATGAAGTATATACTAGCCGACCATGATTAATGGGTCGGCTATCCGTGAACGAGGTGTGGGAAAGAACTGGGCTGAACACTCCCAGCTGTATCACGTGGTACAGTGTTCGTTTCCAGTTTATTTAATGACGCTCTCTGTAGCCCAAAATCGCAGCATCGAAAGATTAATTAAGATAAATTGGAAAGGATATGGAAGGAAGCATTCGTGACCAAATTTAAAGAATTTGTGTAGAATGACTGAGGAAAACCATGGAAAACGTTAGGAGAAGCGGATTCCCTTAGAAGTTTTTGATACGTAACCGGGTTCATTTTTGCCGTCTATTGTGCTTCTTGAAGAAAGGCGTCGGTTTTTCATCGTCGTTTACAGTGGCATCCGAATGTTTACTTGCTTTAAATGTGGCGTCTTGTGGGGACGACGCCTTCCGGCTTCGTGCTCAATGGCTTTCGAAGCCTCACCTTTGTTAAATAATATTTGGTAGCGTCGCGACGCTTGCCGATTTTTCAGTCGTTTCGGATAGTAATCGAACCCTCAGCTGCAGAAAGTGTTCATTCAAATGGAGGCGTGGCGTCCGCTATCAAAAGTCGTGTACAATGGCATTCCAAGTTCTATCTGACAGAAATACTGGGACTTTTATCGGCGATTGGGTTTATAGTTAGGTAATGAAAACACAGCAGCATATACGTATTATCTATTAATAGAAGTATTAGTCCTAATTGTGTTTAGGTCTAGGGCTTTGATCACCTGTATTTCTTAATGTTTCTGCGTCGTAGTCTTCCTCAGTAATTTCCTACAGTAAGGGTTAATATTTTATGCCATTTGTTTTATTCATAATCTGCTGGTTGCTTTTTTCGGCAGAATAAAAATCAAATATTAAAGCGGACTTCATGAAAAGCGCTCTTTCGAGAGGACTAAATAAGCTGAAGATTTTCTCCTGCGTTTCATGCGCTGAAATTTTTACGACTAAATTAGAACGAATTTTCAAAGCAGACGCAAGAAAGAATTTGTTTCCTCACCAAAGTGGAAAGAATCTTGACTGTTATAACGCGTAATATCTGATGTATGTTTTCTTTGACTGGTATTTAGATCACAATTTGTTGTTGGGGGCGTTATATACGCGGTGGAAAGCTCCTTATTTTCTCTGCAAAAGTGCTGAGTTTGAGCTCAGACCACCGGAAAAGGAATTGTTTTCGTCAGGTGGCTTGATCACTGGTGTCTGGTGTGTGTGTTGCAGGTGGTACATGATGCAGTCAGGAACGGAACCGGTGACAGTGTTACCAGGACCACGAATTCGCCTCTTGGGCCCGATTCTTGTTATAGAAGCCGTGACGCCGGAAGACGGTGGGATATACCGCTGTTCCGCTAGCAACGCTGGTGGCGAAGCAAGTGCCGAGCTTAGGCTCGTCGTCGTGACGCCTCTGCACGTCGAGGTGACACCGCCGTTATTGAGTGTCCACCTGGGGGGCAACGCCGAGTTCCGATGCCTAGAGGCGTCCCAGCAACCACACCAGACAGTTACTTCCCTCCTCATCACGTGGTTCAAAGACGGACGCCCGCTACCGGGACCAGCTAGAAGTAGCGGGGACAAGCTTGTGATCCCCGGAGTAACCCGGGAGGACCGCGGCATGTACCAGTGTGTGGTTCGGAGGGCAGAGGGGGAGACGGCACAGGCAGCAGCCGAACTGCAGCTCGGCGGTAAGTACCCGTGTTCTAAGGTCGCAGTCACTGAACTTTTGCCGCATTTTCATGTGGTCTGGCCGACAGACGCTTTCCCCCGTCAAGTAAATTACGGCGCACTTAATCGGGTTGTGAAGTGGGCAGCGCTCATACACTCTCAGCTGTTCCCCGCAGACGTACGTATTTACATTTTAATTTGCATTTAAATTGAGTGTTCAAATGCGTGAGTGAAATTTTGTTTATAATAATTATTATCTACGTAGACGCTTACGAAACTTTTTCGAAATTATTCACTAGCCTGTTAAATGTATTTTGCGATTTGAACATGATAACGTAATCTGCTAGACTGAAAAAAACTGCGTCACCTGTACAAATAACGCTTCTGTCCCACGACGTCCATTTGT